TTCAACCGTCTCGAGCTCAACCGCCTCGGGCTCGGTAGGCTCAAGCTCCACCGTCTCGACTGTCGGTACGGCTTCAGCAGTGGCCACCGACGCAGCTTCGGATACGGCCCGAAGAGCCTCTTCCACCGCGTCCTGCACTTCCGCCACCACGTCGGCCTCCTCAACGCCACCCACCGCAGCTTCGGGTTCTGTCGGCACCTCTGCCGTCTCCGGCACCTCGGTCTCGACCGGCACGTCGATTGCGACTTCATCAACGATGGCGGTGGCCGCTTCTTTCGCCCCTGCGGCCAGCGCAGCACACTCCACAGCAGACACCAGGGCCTTAGCGACTGCAGCGACCTCCATCACCTCGACGGCATCAGCCCTGTCCGTTGTCTCCGGCTCAGTCGTATCGGGCTCTGTCGTATCGGCCGCAACCGTCTCGAGCTCAACCGCCTCGGGCTCAGTAGGCTCAGGCTCCACCGTCTCGACTGTCGGTACGGCTTCAGCAGTGGCCACCGACACAGCTTCGGATACGGCCCGAAGAGCCTCTTCCACCGCGTCCTGCACTTCCGCCACCACGTCGGCCTCCTCAACGCCACCCACCGCAGCTTCAGGTTCTGCCGGCACCTCTGCCGCCTCCGGCACCTCGGTCTCGACCGGCACGTCGATTGCGACTTCATCAACGATGGCGGTGGCCGCTTCTTTCGCCCCTGCGGCCGGCGCAGCACACTCCACAGCAGACACCAGGGCCTCAGCGACTGCAGCGACCTCCATCACCTCGACGGCATCAGCCCTGTCCGTTGTCTCCGGCTCAGTCGTATCGGGCTCTGTCGTATCGGCCGCAACCGTCTCGAGCTCAACCGCCTCGGGCTCAGTAGGCTCAGGCTCCACCGTCTCGACTGTCGGTACGGCTTCAGCAGTGGCCACCGACGCAGCTTCGGATACGGCCCGAAGAGCCTCTTCCACCGCGTCCTGCACTTCCGCCACCACGTCGGCCTCCTCAACGCCACCCACCGCAGCTTCGGGTTCTGCCGGCACCTCTGCCGCCTCCGGCACCTCGGTCTCGACCGGCACGTCGATTGCGACTTCATCAACGATGGCGGTGGCCGCTTCTTTCGCCCCTGCGGCCAGCGCAGCACACTCCACAGCAGTCACCAGGGCCTTAGCGACTGCAGCGACCTCCATCACCTCGACGGCATCAGCCCTGTCCGTTGTCTCCGGCTCAGTCGTATCGGGCTCTGTCGTATCGGCCGCAACCGTCTCGAGCTCAACCGCCTCGGACTCAGTA